ACAAATTTCACTAAAGGTCTAAATTTAGACAAAAATATATACTATCTAGTACCTAAAAGGATGTGGTAAAAATGACACACTCTTATGTTACATTGGCCATATGTATCAAGAGTCTTTAAATTATTTACATTTCTTGATGGTCTAGGAACCATCAAAAGAATATTTTTAAATACAGAGAAAAGCTTTCTGCACAAAATATGTATATTGTAGAATTACACTTACGGGCACAGTTTGCAGAGTGGTTATGATACACCCCCGTATCATATATTTAGTCCACAATTCTTCAGATTTCCACCTGATCTCTCCTACATATTTTTGCCATTCATAGGTTGTACTGGAAGGCTCCTGGGACTTTTTTTGGGAGTTTTAATTATATCATGTATACAACTGTGTATCCTGATTTCCTTCCACTTAACACTATCATAAGCATTTTAATATATTTTCTTCATAAACATTTTTAATGGCAGTGTTATTTGCCACTAAATATATGATACAGGGGATGTATCATAACCATTCTGCAAACTGTGCCCTAAAGAGTAATTAAATTTTATGTAGTCTAGTACACTAGTTTTTAATTATTATTTTCTCTATTGTTTCTAATAGCAGCAGCTACTTCCAAGATTTGAGTGCTGTGTAGGCGCCTGGCTCTTTATCTCTTACTCTCATAACACCATAAAGTGGAAAATATTTGTGGCAAATAATAAGCTAAGAGTTAGTATTTTCAATATGTAAAGAACTCATACAAATTGATGAAGAAAATAATGAAGATCAACACACAAGTTGTTACAGGATGTGAATCCACGGTTCACTTGATAGACCTGCCGATACTTTTTAGTGTAGACAACTAGTTTAACATTTTTGTGTACTTTTTGCATACAAAGTACCTTTTTATTGCTACTTTTATTAATGCTCACTTTTAAAAAATTAGAAACAAGGATTTTTTTTTTTTTTTGTAAGACGGAATCTCGCTCTGTCGTCCAGGCTGGAGTGCAGAGGCCCAATCTCTGCTCATTGCAAGCTCCGCCTCCTGGGTTCAGCCATTCTCCTGCCTCAGCCTCCCAAGTAGCTGGGACTACAGGCACCTGCCACCATGCCTGGCTAATTTTTTGTATTTTTAGTAGAGATGGTGTTTCACCGTGTTAGCCAGGATGGTCTCGATCTCCTGACCTCGTGATCCACTTGCCTTGGCCTCCCAAAGTGCTGGATTACAGGCATGAGCCACCGTGCCTGGCCAGGATTTTTTTTTTTTTTTTTTTTTTAATCAAACACTGACTTGACCTTCGTGTAGCTGGTAACGTGAAGTCAATGTGAATTCCAAGGGAAAGCTCACATCTCTTCCAGACAGCCCTCTGAGATGGCCTACTTGGTCTCCCCACTTCTACTCTCCAGCCCCAACACACCCCCACATCTTGCATGCAGCGACTAGAGTGGCTGTTTAAAGATACAAATCTGATTATGTCACTCCTCTTTGTAAAACCCAACCCGTATCATGGTTTCCCACTTCACTCGGGATAAAATACAACCACTTTAACCTGCCCTACAAGACCCTACTTGATCTGGCCCCTGGCCTGCCACTCTTCCCCTTCACCTCCATAGTCTATCCACATTCATTCTTTCAATTCCTGGAATGGGCAAAGCTTTTTCCCTGCTTTGAGGCCTTCCCACATGCTGTTCCTCTGTCTGGAAAATTATCCCCCACTTCCCTCCACACTAACACCTACGCACTCTTCAAACCTCAGCTTAAATCTTATTTATACAGAAAAGCCTTTCCTAGGCCCCTTTTCTCCACTCTAAAATTTGGTCTCCCCTTTTTTATACTTCCTCATAGCAGGTGCTGCTTAACTTCCACAGCAGATACCACAGTTTGTGATCATATGTGTAGTTGTGATTGTGTTTAAATTCTGATCCCCTCCCCCTCACAGATCATAAGCTTCAAGAGAAAAAGAACAAGTTGATTTTGTTGGCCACACTGCAGGCACTCATATACATCTGAAAGAAAGAAAAATACATACAAAGCCCCTAATCGTATCTCGTACATCTTAAAATGTTACCCATCACATCATTCAATCATTATTTAAATGATTAAAATATTAAATCTCAATATTAAAACTCTGATACAGCTTGCAAATTTAGTAAAAATCCCTTTTCCTTGAAGGACATAAAAACTAATCTGAATCTGCTACTGCCACAGAAAAATACATGTACAACTTACAACTTTAAGGAAATAAGATTAAATATTATAGTGAGAGTATTGTCTGGTGTTCAGTTTGCTAATATGTTTATTCACAGTCAACTAATTTATATGCCTTATTTTTTAAGGTGTGAAAGCACTAGGGGCTGGGCACAGTGGCTCACACTTGTAATCCCAACACTTTGGGAGGACTGCTTGAGGCCAGGGTTTGAGACCAGTTGGGGCAAGATAGTAAGACCCTGTCTTTACAAAAATAAAATAAAATAAATCAGCCAGGTGTGGTAGCACATGGTTGTAGTCATTCCTAACTACTGGGGAGGCTAGAATCATGCCACTACAGTCCAGCCTGGGCAACAGAAAGAGACCCTATCTTGCTCTCTCGCTCCCTCTCTTTTTTTTTTTAAAGAAGAAGAGGAAGAAAAGAAAGCTCTAGGAAAAAATGCTTTGCAAAATATTGTTTACGAAGCCTAACGTATTGTCAGTACTTGATAAAAATTAATTTAAAAAATCACAAATTAAAAAGCATTCAAAGTTGACTATCTCTAGTGCTCTGTGATATGATACACACACATCTCGTCAAAAAATATAAATGATATTACAAATAATTTTTGTATCACAAAGGCTAATAAAACCAGTATTTATATACTACTTTACATTCTACAAACCATATGCACTGTATCACTGAACTCTATGGAGTAGATAGAGCAGGCCATTTACAGAAAAGAAAACTGAGGTTTGGTGTCATTCAATGTCCTCCCCAAGGTCACACGACTTCTAAGAGGTACAGTCACAACTACTATACGGGAGGGATGGCTGCTCCCACATGTAAATTTCTTAACCAAAAGAGAACTTCATCATAAATGCCGAATCTCGGTATTAGCGTATATCTGTACTATCACCGAAATGTCATCTCATCAGAGAACCACGACCGGCGAAAAAGCTGTTTTAAAGTTAAAACTTTAACTATCAATTTGGGAAACGGCTAAACCACGGTATACTGAAACTATGGAACATGATGCAGCAGTTGTTAAAAAAAATAACTTGAAGCATTATATGCTAAAATTGAAAGGGTGCAACAGTCCTTGTTAAAGCAGTCAAAAACGATGTTAGATGCACACACGTAAAAGTATCCCAAAAGATCTAGAAGGATACACACCTCACACGTAATAGTCGGCATCCCTAGAGACAGCGGTTGATAGTCAAAAGACAAAATGCCATCTCTGCGATACGCTGTTTTTACAAAGAAAATGTACTACTCTAATTTAAAATTAATTTTTAAATTTTAAATTAACCTGTGGGTTGAACAAGGTCAATTTCCTGCTTTAAAAAACTATGCATCTATAAAGGAAATAGGGGCCCTAAGAAGACAAAATGCCTAAAAACAGTTCCATCTTGAGAAAACAATAAACTGTAAATATCAGAAAACGTTCCTTGAAGAAGGCAATAGCTCGGAAATCTTTTTTCAGTATCTGGTCTCCTTTGTTGCAGTGAGACAGCCCATAAGCAATCTAGCGACCAGAACAGTTCGGAGCAGGCTCCCGGGGAGATTTAGTTGTTAGAGTTCGGCAAGAAAGGTTTCACAAAGGAGCCGAGTTCTGGGGGAAATAAGAGGTGATGTGGCGGAGAGATGGATCTGGATGGGAAAATGTCTGGGAGGGGGGTATACGGAGTCCATGAGAAGCCGGGGACAGTGAGAAAACTGCAGTCGAGTCCTGGAAGGGGTGAGAACGCCTGCGGAGGCGGGAGTCGAGAGGGAAGCGGACAGCGCCGGCAGCCAGTTTACCTGGGTGAGAATCCGGCCCTTGTTGCGGTCAAACAATGGAGGCGTCCGGCCGCAGCAGCCTTCTGCGCTGGGTGCGCGAGGGGTTCCTCATCACCTGAGCGGGATGCTCGCCTCCTCTGCCGGACGCAGGGCGCCCTGAAAAACACACAGCACCCCATGCAGCTGGCTCCTCCGCAGCCGCCCGGCTCCCCGGTCCCCTGGCGCGGCCATGACCGCCTCTCCGGGGATCCGCCTGGAAGGGCTCCAAGGCGCGGCTCCACGGGCGACGAGGGCGGCCGCGCTCCCCCTTCTCGGCTCCAACAACAATGGAGCCTGGCTCGGGAGTCCGGCTCCCGCGGGGCCTCGCCCGGCCTCGCCCTGCCCGCTGCCCAGCCCTCGCTCGCGCCGGCCGCCATCTGCGCCCCCCGGCCCCGCTCCCCAGCACTGCGGGCCCGCGGCCGACCGCCCGAGGCCCGAGGGGCGGCTTCTCAGCCCGGGGCCCGCCCGGCTGCACGGAGCCGCTCTGACCTTCCCAGCCATCCCCAAGGGCCGGGCCGGCCCGAGGCCCATCCTCCGGGATGGGTTGTTTTTCTTTTCTTTAATCCACTCCACCTCCTTCCCACCCCCAGCCCGCTCCCCGGCCCCTGGCCCCTAGCCCCCTCCGGGAAAGAAAGAAAGACTGCAGCCCGGCCGCCGAGAACTCACTCCAAGTGAGGGGAGTCAGCGCCCCAGGCCGCGGGCGCCGCGCACCCACCTCCCTCTCCTCAGGGACACCTCACAGGTGCGCCTCCGAGCCGCGCGCGCGCGCGCTCCGCACACCCAGACGCCTCCGGGGGACAGCGCGCGTGCGCACGCACGAGGCCGGGGAGCCCCGGGGGAGCGGGGACCGCACGCATGCGCGGCCGCCCGGCCCGCGCCCCCACTGCCCGCCTCCGCCCCCGCCCCCCAGCCCCGACACTGCCGGGCCCGGCCATCCCCAATCCCAGCGCGCGGCGCGCGCGCTCCCGCTCGCTTCCCTCGCTCCTCCCCGCGCCCCCGCCCAGGCCGCGTTACCCAGGGCAACCGCAGTGCGGCCGCACCTGAGCTGTGCGCCTGCGTCCCGCGGGCCCGACCCTCCCTTCCCCTCGGCCCTCGCCCCTGCCCGGCCACAGCCGGGCGGAAGGGGGCGTCGCCCCGCCTCGCCAAGTGAATATCTGCCCGCCGCCCCCGCCCAGCCCGGCAGACACAGACCCGCCGCCGCGTCGGCGCCTCGCCCGTCGGGTCAGCGCGGCCAGGCCTCGCCGCCGGCCCCACTCCCAGGGTGCACCGCGGCGAGCGCTCGGGTGGGAGCGGGCGAGATGTGCCGGGCGGGCGGCGCCCACTGACCTCCCTCGGCGGCCCGGCTCCGGGCAGCGCCCGAGCCCAGGCAGCCCCGCCCGCCGCGCCCCGCCCAGCCCATGGGCCGCGAGCCCCCGCCGTCGCCCGTCGGGAGGACCGAGCCTAAGAGGGCAGCCGCCTGAAGGAACGCGACGGCGGCGCCCGCAGGTGAGGCGGGGCCCGGGGTGTGCCGAGTCCGGCCCCGCTCACCTGGCAGCGCCGGCGGGGGCGGAGGGGCCGGGCAGGGACGGGAGTTCGTGGCGAAGACTTTAAAAACCCTCCCCGCGGGGAGATGGGGGACGGGGTCCTCCCGCCCCACCCCCGGCGCTTGGGAGCCGCGCTAGCTCCGCGAGGGGCAGGGGTGGCCCCGGACGAAGGCAACTCGGGGGACGGCGGAATCGGGGGAAGAGGGTCCCTGAGGCGCGGGCCGCGCCCGCCCCCGCAGGGTCTGCCGGCCCTTTTTGGGGAGGGGGCGCCCCGGCCCGGGCTCTAGTCCAGGGTGCGGACCGGCCGCGGCGCGCGCCCACGCCAGTGGCTAGGGGGAGGAGAGGCCGGTCCCGGGGCGCTCCTGCCAGCCCCGGGGTGGGATCGCAGGGCGAGGGATCCGCATTGCAGGTGCACCAGGAGCGCCCCGGGGCCTAGCCCGGCTTTGTCTGGGATGCTGTGGGGAGGAGGCGGCTTGAATCCACATCTCCTTTTTAAATGCATGTTACCACCCAGGGGACCTTAGAGACCCTCCCTGACAAGTTGTATCGCCTCCTGTCCTGGTAGCCTTTCCGTAAGTACGCTACCTGCCAGCCCCTTCCTGAAGCTTTGATGCGCTTTAGTTTACTCTGACGATTTGTTTGTGATTCGTGAAACGGAGCAGAAGGCACAAACGCAGCAGAGCTCCGGGTTTGGCTCCTGGGCTGCCGTCTGCTACCGCGAGTGAGTTTCTCTAACTTAGGTTTTCATGCTGGCCTGTATTGTTTCATTTCAAGCTTTGATATTTAGCAGTACGATCTAGTCCACTAATGAAAATTAGGCGGCCAGAGAGAAAATATAACCGTACTCTGTAGTTTAGGTTGCAGTAGTTGGTTTTGTAACAAAATACAAGCTACCAGGCTGTAATACTTTAACATATTACGCATTTCCAGAAACCTGTAAGAGTATTAAAACTAGGATTGCCATTTTAAAACTTTTACATTTGAAATTAAAGAGCATTGGTATTGATAAAATGATTTTTTTTTCACATTAAGAATTCCCATGCATTTTCTCGCCGTTGCATTGTAAGGAAAAAGATGCTAACGTTTGAAGTGACTTTTACCTCCAAAGATGTTTTGAAATGTATGTAATTCTTTTGGCTAACTGTTCATCTTACGTGAAATATGCTTGGAAGAAGGCTTTAAAACTAGTGATTATATTTACGGGTATGCGTACCTATACTTATCACTGAAAAATCTTGAAATAGTTTTGTTACTCCTCTGCATATTATAATTACGCAGTGAATTTAGTTTAGGCACATTTAAGATCTAAGGTACAGGACAATTATTTGTGTGAGATTTTTACTCTAACACATTTTAAATACATCAGTCTGACAAATAGGTTTTTTTGGAAATTAGAAATTTTTATTAACTCTTTAAAAAAAGAATCATTCATCTTGGGTATATAACTCTTTCATCTGCCATGTTGCATAAATTGCCAAATTGGATAAATTGATCTCAGCTTACCCAATTATCTTTGGATAAATTGAGCTCAATATAATTACCTCATTGGTAGGATGCCTTTGCAGTGACACTAACGTTAATAAAGTGTTGATGCTTTTAAAAAATACTTATGTTGAAAAAGCATTTTCTCGTATATCTAGCAAGAAAAGTCGTGGAACTTTTTTCCTTCTATCTGGAACCAGATCAGCCATAAATAGTTTCTAATACATAGTGGGCACACATTTGGTAACTAAGATTAATTATATCTACTGAATTTACTGAATTCCATATCCTTCAAGGGCAGTGACTAGGTGACTTTGTGTCTTCACACACCAATGTTGCAGTAAACGTTTGAGTCAGATTGAAGTTTCATCCCGGCTAGGTAGGTGCTAACCTAATGACACCGGTTTCCACATCTTCAGCTCTGATGTTTCAGCCTGCAGAAGGATTTGGGCAGGGAAGTGGCTGTGTCCTAATTGTCTTCAGATATGTGGAGGTCTGTCATGCGGCAAGGGATTTCATTTATTTTGAGTAATTAGTACAGAAAAACAGATTTCACTTTCACGTAAAGGCAAAAGTTGTTTATGGTGAGAACTAGCAGTGGAAAGAAGGGGCCGCTCCTTCCCTAGGGGCTTTTGGGATCAGCTGGTTCCCCACTTGGCCTGAATGTCTGTTAGGAGGTATCACAGGTATAGGGCGGTCTTTCTGAGACGGACTCCTAGGTATTCCGATGGCAACTATATTCGAGGACTTCCGTACTTCACTTTTAGCACTGTGGCTTTTGTTTTTTGTTTTCTTAGGGTGGCTTCTACAGTTGTGGACATAGCAACATCCCCAAACACCTACACAAACCCTGGGAAGATTCTTAGTAGATTAAAGACCCACCTGCTATCAAAGATGATTCTTAGTCCTGCTTTGCGTTTGTATGGCACATTACAGGAATAAAGCACTCTCAAATTCAGTGTGTTTTAAAAGACTCTTTTTAATTATACATGATTTGTATTTCTTTCTTTGACTTTTATTTTCTACAATAAACATTGAATCAAGAGGAAAATTACTCTTTTCTAGGAAGGCAAGCACAAAAGTCTTTTTTTAAAGCTCTTTTTAAAAAATAGGATGGTGCCAGTCATTCTTTGGAGAGCCAGCAAGTTGTGAAGGTGAATCGTTCTTTTACTTGGCTGAAAACATTTTTTTAAAGATACTGAATAAGGCTGGGTGCAGTGGCTCACTCCTGTAATCCTGGCACTTTGCTAGGGCGAGGCGGGCAGATCACGAGGTCTCGATCGAGACCATCCTGACCAACATGGTGAAACCCCATCTCTACTAAAAATACAAAAATTAGCTGGTCATGGTGGCGCAGTATTCCCAGCTACTCGGGAGGCTGAGGCAGGAGAATCGCTTGAACCCAGGAGGCGGAGGTTGCAGTAAGCTGAGGTCATGCCACTGCACTCCAGCCTGGCGACAGAGCAAGACTCCGTCTCAAAAAAGAAAAAAAGAAGAAGAAGAAGAAGAAAAAGACTGAATAAGAGATGATTCTTGTGCTTGCTCCGCATTTTAGTTTGTTTATTTCATTACTCAAACATGACTCAAGTTTCACAGCAAAAAGTCCAGTCATATCCACCTACATTAAGTTGCATTGGATGTTTTTTCAGTATGTCTGCATGGTTTTTAAAATATGCTGGCAGCTGAAGGTAAAACAAAGCCAAGAAGTAGAATTACAGCAAGCTGAAAAGCTTAGGGGAATTGGAGCTTTGTGTTTGAAAAGAAAAACATGTGCCCTGTTTGTATGAAACCAATCTTGAGAATGATGGTTTTATCAAAAATGGGAATAATAATTTATCTATTATAACAAAGATTCGGCTACTGAGTGTCAATCTAATACATGTATTAAGTGGGTCAATGAGGTTGGGACTCCAGTCTGTGGCTAAGAAGCAGAGCAGAGTTACCTGTGAACACGAGTGCCCAATACACAAGGATTGAAGTGCAGCAAGACGGTAATGAGGCCAATTGAGTTAAACCAAGGTCCAACCTCTCCAGTTTAGGAAGAAGAGGAAAAAATTCTGAATTAATGTCTGCTTGGACTGGACTTTTTAAACGTCTTTTAAAGTAGTTTCTCTCTCTTGTTCTGTAGCAGATGAGTTTGTCTCATGCGTTTGTGTCTCTTACCCATTAGCTGACTTTGGGTGTGATAAGTGACTAAGACTCCTCAAACTTTGAACAAGGAATATACCATTTATTTACGCTGTATGCATGAAGGGAAAAGAGACGATTATCAAGTTTTTCTGGCCAACCAAGAAATAAAATGAAACCTTAAAAATACTTATTTTTCCAGGAAAAAAAGTCACAGATACTACTTAAATATTATTACCAGGACAACAAATTAGCAAATAAGGCAACCAGTTAGAAAGCAGCATTTTCAAGGTTAAAGGTTGCATTTTAAAGCTTTTAGCCATGACTTTTGAAGGGATCACACAAACATCTTAAAAGACTTCTTTGTTAATCAGAACACAGTTTACATGCAAATTTCCACAATGGAGAGCAGACCGAGATCAATACTTTCACCATTATTCCCAGCTTACTGCTTTATCAGAAGGAACTTTACTACGAAGCAAGAAGTGTCTACTCTTCTGTGAAGGAGTAAGTTTTCTCCTTGTTTCTGAAATTTTTTATTCTAGCTGAATTCTCAGGACCGAGCAGTAAACTTCCATTGGTTAGCACCAAATAGAGCAAGCCTGAGAAAGCTGCTTATAATAAGGGGGAAAAACGACAGAAGAAAACTTTTAATAAAGGAGTATAAGGCACATAATACTCTGCTTCTACAAATTTTCTTTTTGTTGCCTCTTTGGCAACACTTCAGATACTAAATTTAGGTCTGCATAAAATCCATTATCCTTTGCTCTTCAGATTTCCTCCCCAATCTATTTCTAAATGCATCCTGTGCCCTTCTCATTTACTATGCAAGTAAGAGAGTTTATGAGAAGTCGTTAAAGCCCATTTTCTTAGGTAACATTGTTTAAGCATTAATGCTACGTGTAAATTGTCGTTCCCAATATTACTGCAATACTCTCTTTCTTAAAGTTGCACATTTTACCTAGAAATCCGTGGCATCATACTCTGAAAAGGCCATCTTTGATATAATGTAGAGAACATGTAAAAACACTGGGTTCCCGAGAGAAAGTTCCATCTCTATCATACATAGCATAATTATCTTAGGATCGCCATATTTTTCTAATGATAAATGAACATGAGAGGTTAGGCTCATGCCATACCCTAAACATTGAAGGAGGCTTTTTGTAACTCCTTTCTCTTCAGCTGTCACACACATCAACCCAGATGAAAGGCACTGCTAGTGTTTCTGCCTCTGTGGCCAGTAGCGTGTTAGGGCAGATATGCATTTTTAAAATAGCCAAGGCTTGCACATTGATAAGAAAGATGGAGGAAGGTTGGGGTTTTTTGCTCAGTTTTGTGTTCCCATAGATAAGA